AAAAAAAAATATATGTGTGTGTGTGTGTGTGTGTGTGTGTGTGTGTGTACTAAAACTTTACTACATTTAGTAAACAACATACTAAAATTAAATATTTTATAGGCTTTCAATCTATCAAGTCTATTTGATAAACATCGTTCTCATTTTCTTTACAGCATAAACTGGGCAAATGTATAATACACTTTATAACAATAACAATACCAACTCACACAGTGGAGTCAAGGAAGGTGCTACATTTCTATCTCCTAGGCTTCTGGCCTCTGAAGAGCCACTACTAACCCATCAGATGTCTCTAGTTTCAAACAAGTACCTGAATAAAGGAGGCAGGAAGCAAACTACCACATAAAGTGAACTATGGCTAAGTTTGTTCACTCAACGAGCATAACAACAATGATATCTAGAGCAGAGTTTACAGCAGTTTCCTTTTTCCACGGATGTGCAAATTTTATACCAAAGTACTAAGAGAACATTCTACACTTGAAAGCTTAAATATTTACTTTATACATCCCTCACTAGTGTTCGCAATCATTTTTTAAAGGTTTCTACAAGGCCAGGCATGCATGATGGTTCACGCTTGTACTCCCAGCACCTTGGGAGCCCGAGACCTTGAGGCTAGCCTATGTAACATAGCAAGACCAAGTCTACCAAAAAATACAAAATTAGCCAGGTATGATGGCGCACACGTGTAGTCCCAGCTACTCAGGAGACTAAGGCAGAAGGATCTCCTGAGCCCAGGAGTTTGAGGCTACTAGGCTTGTGTTACTGTACTTCAGCCTGGAGACAGAGTGAGATCTTGATTCAAAAATAAATAAAAATAAAGGTTTCTACAGCTTGTTTCTATTGTAAGCTGTCTGAAGAACATTTTCTTGAATGAAGACAGTTTATGAAATAACCTCTACATTAAAAAATTCATAAGTAATAAAATCAACCGTAAAAGGGAAATAAAATAGTCCTTCCAGTCAGGGCAAGAGAAACATAGGATCAGATGTTTGTTTTCTCTAACAAGATTCATCTTGCTTGCTAAGGTAAAGACCACCAAAAGAAAAAAACCATTACTGATTTATTGTCAAAACTATGACATAGCATCCTAATATATCAATGGTCACAGACATGAAGAACGACAGCATAAACATTGAAATTATGTTGCCTAAATGTTTCTGAAAAAATATTTCTTTTGTAAAGGCGAATGGATGCAGCTTGGAGACACTTAGTTTTGAGGAGTAACAGGAAACAGGGCTAAAACTAAGGTAACAAGGGCTCAGAAACAGTAAAATAACTTTTCCACTTTTTTACAGATTCCTTTTATACCCTCACTTATATATTCGTGAACCGCCAAATCTGTGTTATGTGCTTACTCACGGAAAATGGAATCAGCATCTTGACTCTCCTAAAAACGCCTTTATCCCCAGACAGAGATTAGCACATAAAAATGAGCAGTGAACTCAGCGATGCTTGCTTTCTTGATCTGTGTGGCGCTCAGGCACATGTTCATTTATGTAATTTGTCAAGCCACACTTTTTTGGCATTCCGAACTTTCAGAAACATGTCATACGTCACAATGAAAAAGAAGAAAACCTGAGATATACGGAGATGTCTGAAATCTTCTAATCTACGCTCGTCACAAGCAGATCACAAGTTATCATCTCTGAGCACTCTAATTTCCACTGCTTGGTAAAACTCTTACCTTCGTGTTCTACATAAGGTTCCATATCCAAAATTTCTGAGAAGCCAATGTAGGTATTCAGCTTTTTCTTATGTCCAGTTTGCCTAATCAAGAGGAAAACTGCTTATTTTTATATTTAAAACAATCATAAACCAATGTATAAGCTCTACTTGCTATTTTGATAAACTCAACAGTAGCGTGGGTATCATTTAGCTATCTTATTCAAAAGCCTGTATGATGAGAACTAAATACTATTTTATAATTGGGCAAATCATAATCAAGGTTAAAAGGCATGACTTCAACATGTTGATTCCATGTACAAAGGGGGACCCCCAAAAATCCAGAATTTAATGATAAAAAATTGTGTTTGTTCTTACATGTTTAAACTTCAGTCACCTTCAGTCATCTGTTTGATGCAATATATCTACTGAGATGCTTTTTCCCAATGCTCAAAACAGTTTTTTAAAAATATCTTTTAGTACTGTTTTTTGTTTCAACCTCTTCTACATTGGTAGAACGCTTCCCTTTGAGAACTTTTTTCATCCAGGGAAACAAATAAAAAGTTGCTTGGGGTGAGATTGAGTAAATAGGGAGGGTGGGGCATAGGGGTCATGCCATTTTTTGGTAAAAAACCGCAGAACACTCAGCACAGTATGGGCAAGTGCGTTGCATGGTAGAAGAATCCGTCACCTGTTTGCCACAACTTAGAATGTTTCTTCCAACACAGCCTCTCACAACAATGCAAGCTGGTACACTGATGCTGATGGGTTCTTAGAACACTTACCTAGTGGGAAAGCCTGCACTACAAGAAGCATGCCCTCCATAAAATAATTTGGTTTTTTTGGGTCCCCCCTTGTATGACTTATTTCCACAAGATTTAATTTAATCACAAAAGAACAACATAAATGTTCTTGCTTTGTAGAAGGCATGCACATGTGCAAAAATTTCCTTGATTTTAATAGTAAAATGAAAGATATATTCCCATGGAAGGGGGAGAGAGGTTCTGTAATGAGTAAAAAATTCACTCTACTTAAAATACACAATAATAAAGAATGTCACCTTGCAGTTTTTAATAATTTCTTAGAATAAAAAAAGTAAGGATTCCCAACTTTTCTAGTTCTCAATTCTATCTTTAAGAAGTTTACACTAAAATCATGAAAAACCAAAATTTCAAAATGACAGGTTCCATCTCTAACTTTCATCCTCAAATCTAGAGTTTCAAATGATAATCATTTTACTCTTATCTATGGAAAAATCTGTACATATTACGAACACTATGAACTGCACACATTTACCTGTCAAAGACAAAACGCATAAGCTGCAGGTTCAGGGTGCAAGGGAGGCTAAGAAGTCGAATCTTTCTTGTTGCATTCTGTTTGCTTTGACAATTTTCACAAAAATATCGATTGTCTCCTTCTAATTTTTCTTCCTGGTCAGGAATAAGATGTATTAATTAAATAAGGAGAAGATGAAAGGATTTAAAACAAGTGCTAGAATCTCTGATGTCAAGTAGGACTTCATTTTAGTCAGCAGCTCCCACTCAAGCTGTTTAAGAACAAAAGCCGGGCTCGGTGGCTTAGCCTGTAATCCCAGCACTTTGGGAGGCCGAGGTGAGTGGATTGCCTGAGCCCGCGGGTTCGAGGCCCACATGGGCAACTTGGTGAGACCTCATCTGTATAATAAATAAAAAAATTAGCTGGGTGTGGTAGCGCGTGCCTGTAGTTCCAGCTACTTGGAAGGCTGAGGTGGCCACTGCACTCCAGTCTGGGTGACAGAGTGAGACTCCAACTCCAAAAACAAAGAACAATGGGCACAGAAGACAAATAGGCACTGCTAGCCGTGACATTATCAAGTTGTGTACAACCGTATTTAAAACTGATGTGCCTATTTCCAAAATGTATGATTTTAAAAATACTTGTTTCAGCCAGGTTCGGTGGCTCAGCCTGTAATCTCAGCACTTTGGGAGGCTGAGCTGAGAGGACTGCCTGAGCCCGCGGGTTCAAGACCAGCCCAGGCAACTTGGTGAGACCTCGTCTCTACAATAAATAAAAAAAGTAGCTGGGCATGGTAGCGTGCTCCTGTAGTTCTGGCTACTTGGAAGGCTGAGATGGAAGGATCGCCAGAGTCCAGCAGGTTGTTGCTGGGGTGGCCATGAGTGTGCCCAGCCTGGGTGATAGAGTGAGATTCCAACTCAAAATAAAAAATAAAATGAAATAAAATAAAATAAAAATACTTGTTTCAAGGTTCTTTGCCCTGGTAATCCCCCTTCTGGGAACTCCAAACAAGTAGGTTTTAAAAATAAATGCCATATATACTTTGATGCAAAATTAATTTTAAAACCGTGAAAATGAGTAGAAATTACATATGGGCACCAGAATATAAAATTTTATACATATATATATATACACACATACACACACACACACACATTTGGTTAAAATTACTAAATCAACATTTGAGACTAAGCTAAAAAGAGAAGTGTAGAAAAATCAAACATTTCAGCCAATAGTAGTTTCTTTTTTAAATATGCCTTTGTATTTCTTGCTATAACAGATTTTTGTAAGAGATAATTCTATTTAATTCAATACTGGTACCATGATTTCTTCACTTGGCTCCCACACATACCTATTTTCTTCCTAGCTCACTCACTGTTCCTCCACAGCATCCTTGGCCAGCTCTCCTCTCTCCCTGACCCCTAAAGATTTGAATATGCCAAGGCTCAGTCCTTGTCTCTCACTCACCTCCTTGGTGATTTATCCAGCCCCAACTTCTCCCCTTGAACTACACCTCTCCAATGTAACCTGCTCCAAGCCAAACTCCTAATTTCTCTCCCAACTCTGAAGCTCCCACAGTCCTCTCCACGTCAGTTATGACAACTCCATTTTTTCAGTTCATCAGGCCACACATCTTAGCAATCCCTGACTCTCCTCTTTCTCTCCATACCCAGTCCACAAATTTTATCAGTTCTACTTTGAAAATACATCTAGGCTAGGTGCAGTAGCTCATGCCTGTAATCCCAGCACCCTGGGAGGCCAAGTCAGGACATTCATTTGAGACCAGGAGTACACAACCACCTGAGCAACACAGTGAGACACTCTCGCCACAAAAAAAAAAAAAAAAAAAAAAAAAAAAAAAAGCCATGCATGGAGGTGTGCGCCTATAGTCCTAGCTATTCAGGAGAATGAGGTGGGAAAATCGCCTTAGACTAGCAGCTTGAGGCTGCAGTGAGCTGTGATTGTGCCACTGCACTCCATCTAGCCTGGGCAACAGAGGGAGACCCTGTCTTTAAAAAAGAAAAGAAACTATATCTAGGCCGGGCTCGGTGGCTCAGTCTGTAATGCCAGCACTTTGGGAGTGGATTGCCTGAGCCCGCGGGATCGAGACCAGCCCAGGCAACTTGGCGAGACTGCATCTCTACAATAAATAAAAAATTAGCTGGGCATGGTAGCACACGCCTGTAGTTCCAGCTACTTGGAAGGTTGAGGTGGATGGATCACGAGAGCCCAGCAGGTTGACGCTGGGGTGGCCTTGAGTGTGCCACTGCACTCCAGCCTAGACGACAGAATGAGACTCCAACTCAAAAAAAGAAAAAAGATAAAGAAAACAAAATATATCCAAAAGCCAAATACTGCACATCACCTCTTCTGCTAACCCCTGGTCCAAGCCATTGTGTGCTGCCCCGTCTGCCCTCACCCTACCTTCATTTGGCATATTCTCCAGATAGTACCCACAGTTATCCTGTTAAAACAGACTATCTGGGTCTTACGCTCACAATCCTGATGGCATCTCAATCTCACTCAGGGTAAAAGTCAAGCTCCCAACAAAGGTCTACCAGGCCCTATCTGATATGGCCCTTGGGTGTCTCTACGACTTCACCTTCTATTCCTCACCCTTTGCTTGATCACTTCAGCCACAACGACCTCCTCAAACTGCCATGCACATTCTCGGTTCAACATCTGCATTTGCTACTTCATCTGCCCAGAACACTCTTCTCTCTGATTCTTTTTTTTTTTTTTTTTGAGTCGGAGTCTCACTCTGTCACCCAGGTTGGAGTATAGTGGCACATTCATGGTCACTGCAGCCTCAACCTGCTGGGCTCAGGTGGTCCTTTCGCCTCAGTCTTCCAAGTAGCTGGAACTATAGGCATGCGCCACCACACCCAGCTAATTTTTTGATTTACTGTAGAGACGAGATTTCGCCATGTTACTCAGGCTGATCTCCAACCCTTGGGCTCAGGCAATCCTCTCACCTTCACCTCCCAAAGTGCTGGGATGACAGTTGTGAGCCACCATGTCCGGTTTCTTCTCTCTGATTTTTACATGGCTCACTCCTTCACCTCCAATCACTTTATTTCCAAATGCACCCAACCTCACCCTCCTCCCTTCCATACTGCCCAGCCCCTTCCCTGCTTTAATTTCCTCCACAGCACTTATAATGGTAGACACACTGTATGTTTCGATTCTGTCTTACTGGCCTCCCTAGCACCCCCACCACTAAACTATAAGCCCCACAAAGGCTAATCCGTCTGCTTCATTCCTTCATTCACTGCTGTTATCCCTAATAATGAAATGGTGCCTGACGCACAGTAAGCACGCAATAAATATTTAGCTGAATGAATTCAACAAATGGCTACTTCAGAAGGATGTGCTGGGGTGTAGGAAAAGCACAAACATATTTTCGCACAGATAGCACATCCATTATGCTGTGTGCCTGCTCATGCCTGATAACAAAGGTTTCCTCTTAGCAGTTTTCCACTCAGATAAAAAGAACCACGTCGGCATCTCCACAGGAATCTAAACACACGGAAAGTAGGAAGTTGGAGGGAAGGGGTTGAAGAACGACCACACTGATGTAAGAAGTACCTGCATGAGGTTTTCTTCAATACCCTGCTACACACAATCACAAAATAATATGTTTTCAAACACACATAGCTTTATGTATAGAACAACTTGAAATAACAAAAAATTACTTTAAGACACAGCCTGCTTTGGTACGTTATAAGTTTCCTCTAGATCATTACACAAGAGACACTTCTTATGTAGGAAAAGCTGACATAATGGCTCTACCCATTAAATCAAAATATCACTCAGAATAGCATTTAACTGTTAATGAGCAGAAACAATATATAGACCAAAATTTGAATACCTTCAAAAATTCCGAGATACAATCTGTTAACTGTTTGTGGCCTTGAATATTTAACTCCAGTTCATAAAACTTTGATAAAAGCTTAGACTCTCTGCCACACTGATTGCAACTATAATAAAATAGAGTGATAAAATTAAGATCAGAGTGGGAAAAGCAATAAAGTCATATTGTATTACATCCTAGAAAGATGGAAAGAAGCATTTAAACCTTAATTAGTTCTCTTTGACAGGAATTATTTATACTATGCATATTAAAAATTAAATAAAAACAAAAAGTGACTGGTGAGGTTGTGTTTTTGACCAGGAAATTCTTTGAAGAATAAAGCTAAGGGGTCCAAGTACAGTTTTGCTGGATGGCTATACACAGTGGTGAGGCTGGGCTTCCAGTATAATCATCCTCCAAATAGCAACACCGTGCCTATGGGAAATTTTTTAAGGGGTATTTTATATTTACTCTTAGTAATCCAGCCAGCTCCAGTCCTGCTCCTCTCAGCTCATAGCACACAGCCATAAAGCAAGAGCAGATGGCAAGAGCTCAACCAGACACAGTCCCTGGCACCTGGATGGGTTCAACTGCAATTACCAAGTCAGCTGCTTACATGTTCCCAGGAAAATGCATTTACTATAAATATTTCATGTCCCATGATAATCCACTAAAGTTATAACTTAGAACTGCACCGAAAATTAGTTAACATACAAGCAAATGTCTTAGAATAAAATGTACCATGAAAAGTTGAAATAGACTTACACAGTTACATAAGCATATTCCCCACAGAACTGCTGTTGGACAATGTTCCGCACATCTGGATTCTTTTGTTTAGACAAAGTATCTTCCAATAGAGACATAAAGAGCTTTGAAAATTCTTGAGCATCCTACAAGTTTAGATTAATAAAAAGAAACATCGTATCTTGCTTTTCAACTTTTAGTATAAACAGTAATGAATTAAATATTACAGAAAAGGCCTGTCCTCTCAAGTTAGCATTTTCAAGCAGGAACTAGCTATGTTGAGTCAGTTTGTGACCACAAATGCATTTCCAGAAATGGAATTAACTATAACGTGCAACTTACTAGACAGTAAATAAAGACTCTAACTCAAAATAGAAAAAAAATTTAATTTTTGAAAAGCATTCTACTTCATCTCCCTTTACAGTCTCAGAAATGCTTGGGTGCCTTGGAATATATATATTTTTAAAGTTCTTATCGGCTGGGCTCAGTGGCTCAGCCTGTAATCCCAGCACTTTGGGAGGCCGAGACGAGTGGACTGCCTGAGCCCATGGGTTTGAGACCAGCCCAGGCAACTTGGCGAGATCTCGTCTCTACAATAGATAAAACATTAGTTGGCCGTGATAGCATGCGCCTGTAGGCTACTTGGAAGGCTGAGGCAGAAGGATCGCTGGAGCCCAGCAAGTCGACACTGCGGTGGCGGTGAGCATGCCACTGCACTCTAGCCTGGGCACGAAGTGCGACTCCAACTCCAAAAAAAAAAAAGTTCTTACCTGCTGTTGCCCAGTGTCCAAACCCAAGGCTTTAACAAATCCAGATGGATCAATGTATCGCCTATTGCTATTCTGCAACAAGGCAAACAGGTACTGGAGATGCTCACAAATTGTCTGAGGCTCATAATCTATTAAAAGAAACATACAAGTTTGTTTTGTAAAAGTTGCTACTTTTCCTTCTAAAAAATGGGCCAGGCACAGTGGCTCATGTCTATAATCCCAGGGCTTTAGGAGGCCGAGGCGGGAGGACCACTTGAGCCTGGGGGTTCAAGACCAGTCTGGGCAAGATTCGATTTCTATTAAAAAAAATTTTTTTAATGGTACTTTTTCTTCACACGACAACATAATTAAACACCTTTATATCCAAACTATAGTAATGTTTTATCATTTAAAAACTTTAAAATAAGCCGGGTCCGGTGGCTCAGCCTGTAATCCCGCGCCTTTGGGAGGCTGAGGTGAGTGGATTGCCTGAGCCCGCGGGTTCGAGACCCGCCTGGGCAGGCGAGACCTCATCTCTACAATAAATCAAAAAATCAGCCGGGCGTGGTAGCGCATGCCTATAATTCTGGCTACTTGGAAGGCTGAGGTGGAAGGATCGCCAGAGCCCAGCAGCTCCAGGCTGCGGTGGCCGGGAGCGGCCACTGCACTCCAGTCTGGGCGACAGAGTGAGACTCCAACTCAAAAAAAACCAAACTTTAAAATAAGCAACCATGTCTTTTGGTTTTTTGCTTGCTTTTAGAGGCAGGGTCTCACTCTGTCACTGAGGCTGGAGTGCAGTGGTACGATCATAACTCACTGTAGCCTTGAACTGCTGGGCTCAAGCAATCCCCATAGCTCAGTCTCCACTGAGACAGTAAGTGCACACAACCAAGCCTGGCTAATGTGTTAGTATCATTTTTAAATTTTAAAAGAAACAAAATAGCAACCATGTCTTTTTGTGGGCTCAAGCAATCCTCCTGCCTCAGCTTCCGGCAGTAGTTGGGACTGCAGGGGTTTATCTCTGTGCCCAGTTGCAACCACATCTTTTGAAAGTAATGAGGCAGCAGTGCTGTCTATATATGTTCCCTAAAGGCAAGAGGATATCCATGCATTTACAGCAACTACAGCAATCACAACTGCTGTCACTAGTCATGATTTTAAAATCATGTCCAGTTAATATGGACTTGCCACAAATAAAGCAAGAGAGAAGAATCTCAAGCACAGCAATTCACACTTGAGTGAAGAACACTAAATCCTAGAATTTTAGAGGGGCAAGTTTTAATGAGTTGGAGTAGGGGACGCAAATAGGAAGCAAGGAGCTCAAGAGTCCTAGAAAACCTGAGCCTTATCTTCTCTACCAGTTATTAATGTATTGCTTCTCAGTTCCAAATCTACCCTTCCTTGCCTGTTCTGTGATAACAGAGAGATGAGCTCTGCAAATACGTCTCCTCTGCCAGCTACCAAGAGGTGAAGGCTTCTTGGTGAAGGGCACTGGAGGACCTTTCTCACCAGCCTCTTGGGAGTCAGTTTTCTCCAGGGCTCCAGGTTCCTGCAGCTGACAGTGGCCAGCAACTGCCCCGGCATCTCCTGATGGCATGCAGCACAGTGCTTCCAGTGAAGCACTTCTTGAACGGCCGCCCTATGAATGACTTCCTGCACACCATTGCCAGGCCCAGTAGCTCCTCATAGAGAGTTTCTGCCAGAGACCCCCGCAAGGCATCTCAGCCTCTTTCTGGCCATCCAGTGTATCCCAGGATTGCCCTGTCCGCAGAGGTAGAGGTTTGACTCTCAGGCCTGGGCTATGGCCTGGGCTATGGCCTGGGCTATGGAGGCTGGGCCTCTTCCCTGAGCATTCTCTTTCGGCCCTAAGGGTAAAGGCTGCTCCCTAACCCTTTTGTTCTTGTATTCTTTAATCCTCTGTAACTCTTAATTGGCTAATTCCACATTACTCTAATTCCCTAATGATGACTCTCGATATAAGACTTTCCCTGATCAAATTATTGTGCAGCTTGTCTTCTAACTGAAATTCGAATATTTATTTCCTAACTCCCAACTCTGGCTTTCAGCAAGTCACTGTATCATTTGTAAAAGAAAGACAGATACAATCTTACTTCATGAGGAGTAAGGGCTTTGCAGGCTGTTAAAAGCTTACTTATTCAGATAAGTTTGTATTTACTCTAACTCTCTCCTTTTACAGTTTGGAATACTCCATAGGAAGATCTTGATAACTCAAACCCTGCTGGTTTTCCTTTCTGCAAACTCAGGGAGTGGCTGAGCTAGAAAGAGAACTCAGACACAAACTCTCCAATACACTACACTGCACCCATTAAATAGATGAGAATCAGAAGGGTCCACTCTTGTCAGAGAATGTGGTAAAACATAAACAATTTATATGTTTAAAATTTTTTTTACTATTTGTTTCAAGGTATACATTAAAGCCACAATATCCAACAAAGGCCACGGCACATCCTTTTATAAAACAGAAATTTAATTTTCACTTGTTATATGTTATTATCTTCTCATTAATAAATTTATGTCAGGTCAGGTGTGGTGGCTCACATCTGCAATCCCAACACTTTGGGAGGCTGAGGCAGGAGGACTGTTGAGTCCAAGAGTTCGAGACCAGCCCGGGCAACATAGCAAGACCTCATCTCTATAAAAATTTAGCCAGTTGTGGTGGTACACACATGTAGTCCCAGCTACTTGGAAGACTGAAGAAGGATCTCCTGAGCCCAGAATTGTCTGAGTTGAGGTTGTGGTGAACTGTGATCATGATGCTGCACTGCAGCTTAGGTGAAAGAGTAGGACTCCAAATCAACAATAAATAAACAAATAAAATTATGCCAGAAAAACAATGCTAAAAATTAAAATTGATGGTCAAGCTCAGTGGCTCAGCCTGTAATCCCAGCACTTTGGGAGGCCGAGGTGAGTGGATTGTCTGAGCCTGCGGGTTCGAAACCAGTGCAGGCAACTTGGCGAGACCTCGTCTCTACAACAAATCAAAAATTAGCTAGGAGTGGTAGCACGCTCCTGGAGTTCCAGCTACTTAGAAGGCTGAAGCGGAAGGACTGCTAGAGCCCAGCAGGTCAACACTGGGGTGGCCGTGTGTGTGCTACTGTAGCACTCCAGCTTGGGCGACAGAGTGAGACTCCAACTAAAAAAAATAAAATAAAATAAAATAAAAAGGATTCACTTAAAATTACTTATATTTGGCCAGGCTCAGTGGCTCAGCCTGTAATCCCAGCACTTTGGGAGGCTGAGGTGAGTGGATTGCCTGAGCCCGCGGGTTCAAGACCCACCTG